GCCGCCATCCTGTTGTATTTCCCCCCCTCCCATTTTCCTCCTGTCCTGGTTTCCTGCTCTCCCATTCCCATCTTCACTGCTCTTGGCAACTTTTTCTCAGTTTTGTTTTTTCCGGTTCCTTTCATTTTAGCGGGCCGCAAAAAAAAGAAAAAGAAACCCAAAGTTGTTTGCAAGCCCAAACCCCAAGGCTTGTGAAGCAAATTGTGCCTCTCCGATTTATATTTCCCCCTTCTTTCCCCCGTCCCCTCCCCTGGTGCCACCCCAGTCGTCCTCGAGACGCGAGGCATGCCGGTGGTGGAGCTGGAGCGGCTGCTGCTGCTGGAGGAGTTCCGAAAGCTCCTGCAAGAGGCGCAGCCAGAGCGGCGCTGGGACCTCAAGGCGGGCCGGCTGGCGGTGGCTGGGTGGTGGGGCAGGGTGGATCGGCGCATGGCTCACTGGGAGGCCCAAGGAAGCCGCGCAGTTCATTTCGGGTCGTGACTTGATGTATGCCGGGATTGTGAGCCACGATCGAAACCCGAAGGTTGGTAAGGGACAATCCCAACCATAAATAGCTGCCGCCTTCTTAATTCCTTACAGGTTCTGGGCAGACCATTTTAGTACCAGGTTTTGATTGTGGCTCATGACTTGTGGGGAGGTTGGGAGGCTGTGAGCATGCGGCTGGTTGGGAGGTGAGGTGAGGTGTGAGGTGGAGGCAGGGGGATGAAAGGTGGGGTGAGCCACGTGCTCAAAGCTGTTTGGTGAGCTACAATCCCAACCGTGAATGGGTCCTCTGACAAGGTCTTTACATGGTTCTGGGCAGACCATTTTAATACCTTTTTTGATAACAAAGAAAAGATGGTAGGAGGGATGAACGCTGTTCGTGGGGCTTGCGAAGTTGTGTGGTTTTCTCCGGCTTGCGTGAGAGGATCTGGAGTAGGCTGCTTTTTGGCAAACAAATCAACGCTGGCTTCCTCTTGCACGCTGCGCCTTGCGTGTGCCTTTGTGCCGCTTAAAAAGCCCTGGCCAGGATCGCATGTTTCACGAGAAGATCCCGTCGGCCCTGCTGTGCCAAGCGCTGATGGGCGCCATGGAACGCCGCGAGTATTTTGTCAACATGAAGTACATGGAACGCCGCGGAGCTCAGCGAAGGCCAACCTAGCGAAGGTCACCCGAAACTGGCATCTCTAAGGTCAAGATTGCCTACTGCTGGCCTTGCACCATCGCGCGCTGCCAGGCTGACCTCTTCTTTCCTCGCGCTCGTGTATGTTTTTTTTTTTTTGTGTGTGTGCACGCGCCAACCGTTGGTTGGCAGGTCGTGTGATGTGGCATTCCTGGGAAGGGGACCTCCTGTCGCTTCGGCACGAGGGCAAGGCCGGCGACCTACAGTCGCCATACCCCGGGGTATGATTTGAATAACACGATCGAGCGCCAGACCTCCAAGCTGTGCCCCATGCCCAGCTTCAACGACTGGTGGCAGCTCGTGTCAGGCAAGGCAGGTCTGGGCCCGTTCCGAGGAGATCCGACGTTTTCGCCAGGTCAACCCAGCCCAGCGCCGCCGGCCAGCCACCCAGTGAGTGGTGTTGGGCTGGCCGCCTGGGGCTTGGGCCAAGGATCAGCAGCCTGCGAAGAAGGGCCAGGCGGGGCACCCAGAAAGCCACTTGAGGGTCCACGTTTTGGATGAGATACATTTGGTCAGTGAGGGGAGTTGTTCAAAGCGTTTCCGGCTTCAAATCGACACCCACTTTGGGGCCCAAGGGTTGAACAGCTTGCGCAACTGTGCGCCAAGCCAGGCGAAGAAACGCGAGCCAGGCGCCTGGGTCGGAGCTGACAGCGCCCTACCGCCCTGCCCAGAGCAGGCGGGGATCGACTTGCGCGTTTCACCGGCCGAGGCGACGTCTGTTAGTTTCAGGGACCCCGGTGAAGTCCAATTGGGCGCGCCTTTTGTTTTTTTAAAGCGGACCCCCCCCTCTCCCACAATGGTGGTTTTCCTTTGGTTCTCCTTGAACGCCACCAGTAAGAAAACAGAAGGGGTCGTCATGGGACCTGCAGTTTGCATACAGAGACGAGATATCTTCGTGAGCTGCAGATCTGTGAGGCGCTGGACTTGGATGCCCGGGAGGTCATTCGCTCGGAGGGGATCGGGACCCGCCGCCTTGGTTTTTCCCATGTCTGGGGTAGGTTGTTGGTTTAAGTTGGTTGTGGTTTGTGTTTTTTGGTCAAAAAAGGGTATTTGCACCGAAATTACCGGCGCTCACCGGATTTCTAGAAATTGCGGACTTCCCCCGCAATGCCTGAAATTTGACATGTTGAGTCAATTGTGATGGGCAAGAGGCACAGTCTCGCACATACCTGGCAGCTTTGCCCACGGAAACTCGGCATGCCTCTTTGTGGAACATGGCTGTGGGTCAAAACCAATGGTACCATTTTTGGGGTAGGTGCACCACCCATTTTAGTCTATTTTAGTGGGGATTGGGATGTTCACTGGGGGTACGGGATTTTGACCCACCACATGTTGCAAAACATTTAGTAGCGACGGACAATTTGTCAAGCCAATGTTTGCTCTTATTTGCCGTTTCATGGGGGTCCACTCGGAAGCGAACAGTGGAAGCGAATTCTACCAGCAAATGTACCTGCAAATGTGAGTTGTCTATCCTCGACTGGACGACTTGCTGTTGCAATCCTTGACGGGCATGTGGGGTGCATGTTCAATCGATTCCGTTGCCGGTTCTCTGCACATTCTGACGGTCGCGCACGGCAGTGGCTGTTCAGCTGAGGTGGGCTACTGCAGAGCCATCGAGAAGATCCTGATCCCCTCGGATCGGTCAGTCATCCTGAGGACAGCGGGCACCTAAGTTGTGCTCGGTGTCAGAAGCGCTCCTCAGTCTGCCACGAACCATCTCGCTGCTCGGTGCTCAATTTGGGTATGGGTCAAAATAAAACCACCAGGGCACCGCATGTTTTAGTCTTTGGCTCCACTTGCCAGGCTGCCATTTTGGGTACGCATTTTTGACCCACAGCCATTTGTTTCGTCCCTGCGCTTGGCGAAGGGTGTTGCAAGGCCTTCCAGCGCGGAGTCCGGGAAGCGGTGCCGGACTTGTCCAAGGACGGTGAGGCCGGTTTGACAGTAGACTCGAGGCAGTCGCTCAAGACCGGAGGGAATCAGAGGTGGCAACAGGCTCAAGACTTGAACACAGGTTTGGTTGAAGCTTGAGCTGCTTGGTGGTTCCCAGCCATCCCCTTAGCTTGTTAGCCTTTTAGTGTTTAGTGGTGGGATTTCCGAATTTAATTTAACCCACTAAAAGTGCGTCGCTTCTAGCGGGGGATCTGAAAACGGACAGCAGCATGAAGTCACCGGCTTGTGCCAATGCTGCAAAATGCTTTGGCCGTTCACGCTCCGGCCAGGTCCCGACGAAGGCAAGAGCCTCGGGATGGGAGCGCGCGAGCGATCGCGAGCGCGTGGTGGATGAAAGCCGAATCAGGCTGTGGCCGATGAGGATGATGAAGAATCCGCTGAGGAGGAGGAGCACCAACTACCTTGCAAGAGTTCTTGTGGCAAGCAAAACTACGAACTATCCCTTGCAATATTTTTTCTCCTAAGCAACGCTCGAAAGTTCGACCATGAAGCCAGCTGCTTTGGTCCGAGGAGACGGAGCTGGAGCCATTCGTGCCACAGTGCAGAAGGGAGCTCCGCTCGGTGCGGGTGATCAAGGCCCGGCGGGCCGTGGATGCCGCATGCGCCGACAGGATTGGCTGTGCCCATTTTGGGAGCCTGGTAAATGGAAACATGAACCAAAACCTGTGGCCCCTGAAAGTTTTTTTCCTTTTGACCCACACCCAAATAAGCTCCATGATGCATGGGATGACCATTGGAAAAAAACCCACTCGAAAGATGATATTTCAAGCACATGGGGACAGTTACCCATGGCTCTTTGGGGCCGAGTTCGGACTATTGCTCAGCCATACGGGTGTGAAACCTTTTCTTTGGGAGCCCCTTTTGCTGGTTGGTTTCACAGGCCAGGTCCCTTAAGTTCAGAGACTGGGAATTTTCGACTCGCCGAGGACAACCTGACCTTTGGCATGGTCTCCGATGCCGCCTGAGCCCAAGGGGGGCCTTGAGAGAGAGATGCAACATCGGATGTGGCCATGGGTCAAAATCCCGTCAGTGAACATCCCAATCCCCACTAAAATAGACTAAAATGGGTGGTGCACCTACCCCAAAATGGGATCCCATTGGTTTTGACGCACAGCCATGTCTCGAGTTTGGAGGCCTGGGCGGACACGGTGGAGGCCCTGCGGGAAATGAGCCCCCTGGACGCAGAGGGAGGGCCGAGCGAATGCAAAGATGGGTAAGATGACAATCAGGGGATGGTGCCGAACGGATATCACAAAATCAAACTCGGTATTAAAATGGTCTACCCAGAGCCATGTAAAGAATTTTTTAAGAAGGCGGCAGCTAGTTATGGTTGGGATTGTCCCTTACTAACCCAGGAATTTCAACAGGGAGCGCCCTCGACAATGGTTGGACATTGATTTCCCACTTGAAATGATGTCCGATGGCCGGGCTGAGGGCAATCAAAAGAAGAGCCTATCCAGGACCCGCAGGATGAGGCGCACCGAGAGTGGTTTCCAGCAAGCCAGATGAGTCACAATCAAAACCTTGGTAAATGGAGGGTAGTAAGGAACAATCTCGGCCAGAATTGGGTGCGGCCGCCTGAAAAAGGTTCTTTGCATTGGTTTGGGTCGGCCAAAATGGATACAGGGTTTTGATTGTGACCCCCCATGTGCTTTTTGGCAGTCAGTAGGCTAGCCAAGATTCTGAGGACGAGGATGCCAAGGAGAGGGACGCTCTTCGAGCGGCCCAGGCGTGCGACCCCAGAATGGACCCCTTTAGCTCAAGGTGGGCGCAGCAGATTCGATGATTAGATCACAAAGGGCTTGTGTTATATGGTTGGTCAACAGCTAAATCAATAGGTTTTGCCCGGCTGAACGGCCAAAGGAAGAGTTTTGGTCAGTTTTTGAGGGCATCACTGCGGACGGGGACGATGCGGAGGAGGCGCACTTTGAGTCAACACATCACGCTCGATGAGAAGTTACTCCCAGCCAGGAAGCTACAGAGCCTGTGGCAGAGGACCGCTTGTGCGAGTGTTTCCACACACAAATGCCCCACCCAGCATTTGAGCCGAGGCCCGCAATTCGCCCAGAATACGACTGAAGCAACATCAATCGTTTGGCTTCACTGAAACACCTTGTAACAAGGGTGCCCCCTGCAGTGCGTGGAACATGCTGCTGAGCCCGCAAAGGAGGCAACGGAGGAGGACCCAGCTGTAAACATCACGGAGAGGTGGGGAGCTGCTCAGCCGTCATGCAATTCCTCAGTGCAATCAGCTGCATTGACATAGGTGTTTGCAAATGATGGTTCCATGGTTTGCAGGGGTCCAACATTTGTGGAGTCGGTGCACTTGTTAGATGCAGGTACATGGACGAATCCAAATTTGGATGCCTGTGGATCGTTTTCAAGGCCGACCGCTTGAATCAGTTCTGGGATTGGCGGCCGGTGCCTGCGGGATCCTCTTAACGCATTCGCATGGGGCAGGATGGAACGCGCTGCACGGTGCGCATGCATCACGAGCGCCTGTGGTACGCGGCTTATTTGCCTGATTGGCTGCCTTTGGGATCTTGTCTCGTGCTTGTCCAATTGCGCAGCTCCAATGCAAGAAGTTTACTCATGGCTTTTGCCTTCAGGTACTCGCCTGGCGTCCTGGGCTCGGGAGTCGCATCGAACAGCTTCCAGTTTTACAGCGGAAACTTGCTGGACTCAGTCGGCTTACAGACCCAAGGCTTTGACGTCCCCTTAGGGCCCTGGCGTTTTTCGCCAGCTGTTCAGGTGAAGCGTTCCGTTGAGCTGGCGACCTGTGGCCAAGGACGTGAGCTGGGATGTCTCCTCGTCGCGACCGGGAGTGCAGGCTGGCACGTGTGTTGGACGAGAGAGGACGGAGGACACCCAGTGGGCTGTGAGTAGAATAGTGGTTTTTCTCTTGGCTTCCGTTCAAACCAAGCTGAAGAAAAGCACAGACCCATTTCCGATGCTAATGCGTTCTGCCAGGTGAGCTACACGCCTCCTTCTGGTGTGGTGGTGCAAGCCTTCAGTGATGCCTCCATCCGCCAGAGCTGGCTCAGCTGGGGGCCCCATGTTGAGTGTCGGGTTAGGCTAATCACTGGCTGCCTTTTTTGCACATTTCAAGGTATCATGTGCATGTGTGTGTGTGTGTGGGTGATTTTGAGTGTACCCCTTTGGGGTTGTTTTAATGGCCGTCCATATATCAGATATTTCAAATACACATACCTGGCCAGGCGCAAACCAAATCTTCGCCTGGAATGATGTGCTGCAAGTTGGGTAGGCATCGTGGTCCTTGTGGCACGCAACACACCCACCTGCTCCAAACCCAGCGCGCATGCGCGCACGCGCGCGCGCGCATGCGCGCGAATGCGCGCGTGCGAATGCGTGGGCCCAGGGCCTGTTCCCAGTGGTGCTGCAGAGGACCTGCTGCCAGGCCGAAGGGTGCTGGACAGCAAGCGCTTTGAGGTGGCTGCGGTTGTCAAAACCGTTTTGGGATCGATCCCATTTTGGTGAATTCACCACCCATTTTAGGACCTATTTTAGTGGTGGGATTGGGATGTTCACAGGGGGTACGATTTGGATTTTGACCCATGGCGACGTGTTTGTATTGAGTCATGAAGTGCAGAATGCAATCAGCTGGCACTGCGTTTTATACTTTTGCAGAGTCTGTGGGCAACACTCAACTGCAATTTCATCACGCTTGCAAGAATAGCCAGGCATGGATGTTGCTGTTTGCGGTCGCAAACCTATCAAGCTATCGCCTTTCCTTTGAGGGACACGTTTTTGGTGGCCTTGTTGCAAGGGCCAACACACCCAATCTTTAGTACCACAATGTAGAGAACAATAATCCCGCTTTGTCTTTTACATGCAGAGGCAGAATTCGGGTGACATGGAAGTTGAAGCAGGTTCACAAACAGAGGCAGCCAAGTCAGGAGCGCATCACAGAGAAGTGGAGCAAGGCAGATTCCAACAGAAAGGACATCCAACAAACGTATTGCAGCCCCGGCTTGACAGGCCTGTTGGGGGCTCGTAGTTTGCGCCGACTTTGTTTTTGCCGGAGTGGGTAAAGACGAGATGGATGCTCACGAACTCCTTCAAGGAGATCCGGTTTTGGCGACTGCAAAACACGGAGCTTCGGTTGTTGCTCGCGCATCACACATCCAAGATGCATCGTCCAATTTGCCATGTCCTCCATGCCTCATGCCCTTGGCTCACGAGTCTAGGCTGCTTTGCCTTTTGAAGCTTTGAGCCTGTAGAGAATCGCGAGTCAACAAAGGCAGCCGTTGCCCATGTCTTCAAGTCATGTGTTGCCTTGCAGCTCGCTCCTGTGGAGCCGCTACTCATGCACTCGCACACTGTTTGCTTTTGTCCTGTGCATCTGCAAGCTGGAAATCGAAGCACATGGAACCTGAGAACTCTTTCTTGAGGACTCTTCCCCCCTCCCCAAAAAGCAAAACACAAACACAAAGAAAAATGAATAAGCAAAGGCGGGTGCTTCGGATTGCATTTCGGAGCGCCAACATGAGCGTCAACACGCTCGCAGGCCAGGCTCAAGACCTGGAGCAGGCGAGGCTGGTGACAGCCTTCGGCGTGCTGGTCATCGAGAGGCCGGGCGCGTGTCTGAGAGTTTGGTTCTCCCGACTTCAGAAGGCTAGCTTATTTTGACTCTGGATTCCTTCCTCAATTGTTCAGGGGGCAGTGTCAGCACACCACTTTGATGCCTGTAGGAAGCAATCTTTGGGTGTTTGGTCACACTTGGCTGTGGGTCAAAACCGTTTTGGTATCCCATTTTGGGGTAGGTGCACCACCCATTTTAGAACCCATTTTAGTGGTTGGATTGGTTGATGTTCACTGGGGGTACGGGCTTTTGACCCATGGCCACTTCAGAAGGCTAGCTTTTGACACTCGGCTGTTCAAAGGTAATCGGATTAATCCTTACCTTGGGTTGTGCAAGGGGTCCCCTTCGTAGTGGCTTCGCTATAGGGAGTATGGATTAGGATTGGCCAAGCCTCCATTTTGAATAGCCCAGTATCAACTATTTTGACGCTGGATTCCTTCCTGAAGGCTTTAGAAATGGGAGAGAGAGAGAGAGAGAGATAGAGAGGCAAACAAAGCACCGACGCGCAGACACCCACAGACACAAACACAAACGCAGACGCCAACACAAACACACAAGCAAAAACACAAAAACAAACACACACACACACACAAACACAACCGCGCAAACACAAACCACAACACGCAAGCACACAAGCCCACAAGCCCACAAGCCCACAAGCCCACAAGCCCACAAGCACACAAGCGCACAAGCGCACAAGCACGCAAACAAACAAACACCCAAACACAAACACAAACACAAAACACAGAGAAAGACAAACACAAACACACACACACACAAACACACACAAACACACACAAACACAAGCGCACAACCACACACACACACAAACACAAACACAAACAAAAGCACAAACACACCAAACACAAACACAAAACACACACAGAAACACACACACACAGACAGACACACACACACAGAGACAGGCACGGACACAGACACACGCACACGCACACGCACACGCACACCCACACACACACACACACCCACCCACCCACCCACCCACCCACCCACCCACCCACCCACCCACCCACCCACCCACCCACCCACCCACCCACCCACCCACCCACCCACCCACCCACCCACCCACCCCCACCCACCCACCCACCCACACACACACACACACCCACACCCACACCCACACCCACACCCACACCCACACCCACACCCACACCCACACCCACAAACACACACAACACACAACACACAACACACAACACACAACACACAACACACAACACAACACACAACACACAAAACACAACACACAACACACAACACACAACACACAACACAACACACAACACACAACACACAACACACAACACACAGCACACAACACACACAACACACAACACACAACACACAACACACAACACTTGACCGCACAGAAGCTGAAATGCAAGACGTGCCCTTTAGAAGTTGTTGTGTCGGCTTTAATCGTTTGCAAAGGCGCGTGTGTTTGGAGCATTGAGCCGGGGATATGTGTGTGAAGTCGCCGGTCTTTGCGCCGACTTGCCTGCCCACCGACAGGCTCTCCGGGCGAAGGGAGGTCTACCATCCCTCTGGCACGCGGGCCTGGAGAAATCCAACCACAGAGGCTGGGCCTGGCTTAGGTGAAGCTTTTGTCTAAGCTGTGTCTCTCTAATGAGTGGGTTTCATGTTATTCTCCGTTGGCACGTTCTCAATGGTGGGCTTGCTTGCTTGCAATTTTTGATGCATCCCACAGGATGAGATATGTGTGTGCATAGGCAAGTGTTTTGGAGAGACACACGCGTGGATGCCTATTCAATATTCAGGGTTTCAACGTATAGCAATGCCCGCAGATTGCAGCGCCAGTGCCCCAACAGCACAATCTGATGCCTGGGCATTTCACTTTCAGCGATACATTTTCTGGTATGTTGGGCGAATAACAGAGGCACATTATCAGCATTGATCATGGATTCAAAGAGGGCAACATGACAACCAACACATCCTGCTTATGAGTTTTGCATTCTCACACAATGATCATGTTGCTTTGCCAATTCAATGTCTGCCATTCGGCAATATCCTGATTTGAAACCGTAAGGACCTAAAGATACAGCATAGCAGCAGCTTTGGCTCGTTGTGAGCCATTCCCACATTGAGAGGCCAACTAGTCGCTTTCAATGAGCGGAGCACAGGCTGAACTTTGCCCCTGCCATCCTGCTAGTAGCGGAAACTCCTGGAATCAGGCATCTACGCGGAGATGTTTGCGCTTCAACTCGCCAAACGCAGCAGCAGCTTCTTTTCGAGAAAGAACAACACGCAGGCAAAACAGTGGCAAATCTCTACGCAAAGCAAATGAGTGATCATCAGCACATGTCTGCGACCCGCGGGGCCTACGTTTTTGGGTTCGCCTGTCCGAAAACACGTCTCCGTTTTGGTCGGTGCTTGCTTCCCCGTTTTGCTAGGAGCTCCAGCAGAGGGTGGAGCAGTTCCGGCGCGCAGCTGGACACTGCGACGTCGCTGGGCTCAAAATTGCCCGGCTTCCGCATGGCAGGTAAGTGGGCAATAACCATGGTAGCCCAGAAAAGCCATGGTTGCAAGTCTCCGTTCAGCGGGTTATCCACTGTTTTCCCTTGGATTTATGGCTCGAAGAGATGGAGAACCGCCCATTTATAAGCAATTTGGCTCTCTAGCAGATATCCCATTCCTGGCTCAGGCCAATCTGGTTGAAGCACTCCGAATCCTTCCATCCCCTCATGCTCCCTATTCCTACACTTCCTCCCCTCCATGATTATCTAAGGAGACGTGCGACTCGCATGTTGCCGCCTTTCGAACCGACGGCTCGGTGGTTTCTTTTTGGGTTTTTTCGGCGCCGAAGCAAGCGCTGTCCCTTCCTCGCATGCTGCGCCTTCAGGCTGTGGCCCAAGCATTCGCCAAGCGGCTGGCCCAGATCTGCGAAGCCTGGGAGGCCTTTTGGCGGGCGGAGACTGGAGTGGGGCCAAAAGCATTCGGTTTCCAGGGGAGGGTTCGGGGGTGAGGGGATGGTTAGGGGGATTGTTAGGGGGGATGGTTGGGGGGTCATTCCCTCATTCCCTGCTAACCACCAACAATATTGCAGTTGCACTCTCAACAGCGGTTTGCGCTTCGGCTCTTGGCGCATGTGGCCAAGTACAGTTCTTCATCCTAGGAGGGGCGTGCTGCGCGGACATTCGCTTTTGAGTAGAGCCGAATACTTCACTCCTTTCGCCAGTTGACTGACTGGCACGCACTATGTGCACAGCTGATAGGCCAACCAGGCAGAGGAGGAAGAGATGGACCCGTCTGAGACGAACAAATACTTTGGCATGCCGTGCCCTCAGAGCTCTTAGCTTAGCACCATTGTTTTTTTAAATGAAAATTGAGAGAAGAAGATGCAGTCTTTCAGCACCAATCTGAGTGTGGGTCTGTCTGAATTTAGGGTACCCCTTTTTGTTTGGTTTTGAAGGGAACCCACAAGGACAACCACCAAACATGGGGGGGGGCTCGGTTCCCCCACAAAAAAGGAGACCACCATCCTCGGTGGCAGAACCACCAAATCTTTTTTTGGCGGGTCCCCTTTAAACCAGCGACGCCCGGGTGCCGAATTTCCGCAAAACGGGAAAATTTAGCGCCACCTTCCCCATTCTTTCCAGGGATCCTTCTTTCTAACCCTCCGGAACCCCAGGGAAACATCCTTTTTGAACAGAAGGATGGTTGAAAAGACTTCTAGGGGTTGATTCCCCATTCTTTTCAACCATCGTTCCTTTCAATCACCGGCTGTGTCCCCTGGGTTTTGGATGGTTTCCTGAAAAGAAGGATCCCTGGAAAGAATGGAAATGGAAGTTACTCCTAGATCTTTGCCCGGGCCTTTGTGAGGGCCAGCGGGGCCAGGCACTTCAGATTGGCGCTGGGGAAAAAAACACCTAGAAGTAGAAATGTGGGTGCTTCCCGCCCGAACTCCCCCAAAATGATGGCTTTCTTGTTGACTTCTCTTGAACACATGAATGTGTTTCCCCAAACCCTAGAAGCCTGGGGAATCCAAGCCGTAGAAAACGCCGGGACGAGTTCGTTTTCGGCGAGGCCGGGGCACTGGCGCGTGACCACCCGCGAGGGCCGGCGCTTCGGCCGCGCGGAGCGGGCCTGGCCGGAGCTGGAGGCGCCGGGAGTTGGGGGCGCACACGGGGCGAGTGGGGCGAAGTCAAATGGCCGCGCTGGTCAAAACCGTTTTGGGGTCCCATTTTGGAGGTGCACCAATTTATTCTGGGGTTCAAGACTGTTTTGGTACCATTTAGATTGGTAGGGGTGAACTCACCACCCATGTTGGGCTTTATTTTAGTGGGGATTGGGATGTTCACTGGGGGTACGGGTTTTGACCCAAGGCCTACTGGCTGTGGGTGAAAAATAGGAACCCCAAAATGGGTTGCTTTGGTAAATGGAGACTTGGACTACAACCTGCGGTCCCCGGGTGGTTTAATTTTGACCCACACCCAAATAAGGAACCCCCTGAAAAGTGGTTGGTTTGCATAAAACCCCACCTAAATGATGTCCACCAGAGCGTGCTCCAGACTGGCTGTGGTTGTCAAAACCGTCTTGGGCTTCCATTTTGGGGTAGGGGAAGGGGAATTCACCACCCATTTTGGGACCTATTTTAGTGGTTGGATTGGTTGATGTTCACTGGGGGGCTTTGGGATTTTGGTCCATGGCCTGGCCACCCGCGCCAATTCCGCCCCGCGGAATTCCGAGACCGAGGTGCCGGAGGTGCCGGAGGTGCCGGAGGCCGACGTGCTGGGTGATGCCGCCGCCTGAGCCGGGAGGGCGATGGAACCAAAAGATGCGATGCTGAGGAGAGCAAAAGGTCCAGCAAGGCGGGGACAAGCAAAAGTTCTAAGGGTAGCTTCCCCATTCTTTCCAGGGATCGCGGCAATTCAGGGTTGTTGGGCTTCGGGCGCGCCTTTGCCAGGCTGAAAGCAGAGGCAGCAAGCCGCCGAGCAGACCCCCGAGCAAGAATCCCAGCAAGGATGAGGCTCCACCTCCAGCCTGAGTCTCAGCTTGTGAACGAGGGAGATAGCTTGAGCCACGTCCTCAAAATCCGGGGATTGATGAAGGTTAGTAAGGGGCTGTCCCAGCTAGAAATAGTTGCGGATATCCGCCTTCTTAATTCTTGAAGCATGGTTCTGGGGATCGACCATTTTTGTACAAGGGTTTTGAGCAAGTGACTCACTTGAATGCCGCCAAGGCGGAAGATGAAGATCTGGAGCGCTCACTGCAGCGCTCCCCTGAAGCCCAGTTCCCAACATGGCCGGGAATTTCCCTCCCGTCCCATGGCCACCCTAAAGGAGGAGCAGGCACCTTATGAATTTGAACACCAGATATGGGTCAAAAAAAGGTACCCAAAATGAGTTGCCGTGGCAACTGGAACCAAGGACCAAAACCTGTGGTCCCCTGGTGGTTTAAAATTTTGCCCCACACCCATATTGCACCCTCTCTCACCGCAGGAGAGCGAGCCAGAGCCTCCAGAGCCGCCGCCCTCCCTGCAGGACATCCTGGAGGCACGGGCGGGGCGGGAGTGGCGTAGCGAGGTTCCGCTTCGTCCGCGCAAAGTGCGAGAGGGAGGAAATCCGGGAGAGAGAGGAGGTAGATTGCGTGGCTGAGATCTTTTTCTGTCATCTTGACAACTTAAAGGGTTGTGCTCAGATCTCGCATTTCAGGCAGTGCTGGTGGATGAAGGCAACAATATCGAGTATGAGCTAGATCCTGTCAGGATCCCGGAGGCTGAGCGGAGCGGAAACAATTTATCGAGTTGAGGTGCCCATGCTCACAATGCTGGACCCACACACCGGCATCACCTCCATCTCAAACGAAGAGGCATGGGAAAAGGGAAGAGAGAGAACAGGAAAGCGGTAAGCTTGAACGATCTTTCCAGAGGGATTGGATTGCTGACAGCACCTTTGACTTGTGAAAATGGAGGATGTGTCAAGGCAGGAAGGCAGAGAGGGAACCTTCAAGATTCTTTGCTGCAAGGGCATGCTGGTGCTGCTGGACAAAGAGCTCGGGGCTGACTGCTGTTGACCCAATATGAATCATAGGGGGTGTCCCCCTCCAAAAGTGGTCTGATTCCGCAGGAAACCCAAAAACGCACTGTCTGTTAACAAACTGGGGTTGATCTGAAGACTAAGTTTTTTGTTTTGTTTATGGGGTCAGCATTGAATAGTAGTTCAAGCTTTCTTTTTTCTGTATGAACATGAGGTCAATTAAAAAAATACATTATATGGGTTAACTTGCTGCGCCAGTGGCTTGATTGCGGCTTTGGCTTTGTCTGAGGTCCTCTGTTTGCGTCCTCCCGGATGGCACGCGCTTGACCTGCTTGGCCGAGACTGAAGGAAGCCAGGCGCACTAAAGAGGGGCTACGTGTCACAAGTGGCTTGCTGTAAACAGAGGCCAAGGAAGCACGGCTTTCTCTGTTTCTTTCTCTCTCCCTCTCTGTTCTCTCTTCTTTTCTCTCTGGCTCTGTCTCTGTCTCTGTCTCTCTCTCTCTCTCTCTGTCTTGTCTTTTTTTCTCTCTGTCGCTCTATCTTTCTTTCATGCTGTCCTTCATTCTTCGCTTCTGTTTTCCTTTCACTATTTCTCTCTCTCTCTCGCTTTCTTGCTGTTTTTCTTTCTTTCTTTTTTGTCTTCTTTTCTTTCTTTCTTACTTTTTGTTGCTCTCTCTCTCTCTCTCTCTCTTTCTTTCTCTCTTTCTTTCTCTCTTCCTTTGTCTCTCTCTCTCTCTCTTTTCTTTCTTTCTTTCTTTCTTTCTTTCTTTCTTTCTTTCTTTCTTTCTTTCTTTCTTTCTTTCTTCTCTCCTCTCTCTTTCTTTTGTTTCTCTCTGTCTTTCTTTCCTTTCTCAATTTCTGTTCTTTTTTCTGTCTTCCTTTCTTTCTTTCTTTCTTTCTTTCTTTCTTTCTGTTCTTTCTTTCTTTCTTTCTGTCCGTTGTTTGTGTCTTTCCTTTGTTTCTTTCTTTCTTTCTTTCTCTTTTTCTCTCTGTTTCTCTATTTCTCTGTCTTTCCCTCTCTTTCTCTTTCCACCTAGCTTGGCTCCCTTTCTTTCCTCCCTTCCTTCTTTTTTTGCTCTGTCGGTCTGTCTGTCTCTGTCTTCGTTTCCGTCTCCGTCTCTGTCTCTGTCTCTGTCTCTGTCTCTGCCGCTGTCTCTGTCTTTGTTTCTGTCTCTGTCTCTGTCTGTGTCTCTGTCTCTGTCTCTGTCTCTGTCTGTCTTTGCTCTGTTTCTGTTTCTGTTTGTTAATTCTTTTTTCTGTCTTCGTTGCCGGTTGTGTTTTGCATTGTTTTCATTTCCTTTCTCTGTGAGTGTTTTTTCATTCTATGTCTGCTTGCTATTCTCTGTCATTTTCTTCCCTTATCTCTCTTTTTTCCCCTCTCTCTCTCTCTCTTTCTTTCTCTCTCTCTCTCTTTCTTGATTTTGTTTAACTCTCTCTCTCTCTCTCTATTCTCTCTCCTTGTCTCTCTGTCTATCTCTCCGTCTGTCGTTCAGTCTGTCAGTCCGTCGTTTGTGCATCTCTGCGTGCCTTTGTGCTCCTTCTCTTGCTTCAGCTTCGAGTGCGCGGAAGAAAGGTGGTGATGGAGAAGGAGGGAGCAGCCCGGGTCACCTGCCGCATCAAGGACAAGGCGTACGTGCCCAACTCCATGGTGCAGGCAGGCTTTTCGGGGGCGCCATGTGGCGAGTCCGGGGCTCTCCAATTCAAACATCTGCATGCCTACTTAAAGGGGCACGTCAGGTAGGTGATTGTAATAGCCATGGTAACCCACAGAAGCTATGATTATATGTCTGTGTTCAGTGTTATAACCGGGCTTACTAGCCACTTCGGAAGCACTCTGCCCCTTCAAGTGGTGCAATTCGTTGTGGGGATGTTTAGCGTAGTCTCCGTTGGAGCAGGGCAGGCCATGCCACCATGACTTGTGAATGATCCAAGCCAACTGCATGTCCGTTCCACTGCAACCGTGACCGCTGAGTGAGAGTGGTCAAACAAATACTCAAGCACCACTCAAGCACCTGCTGTTGCAACCATGTCAGCAAATGGTAAGGGCGGGGAGGGTGTGTGTGTGTGTGTGCCGCAGGGTGGCTAGGATCGCTGAGCTGAATTGCTTGCCTTGCGAGGTGCAAACAATCTGCAACAAAGAGTAAAGACATGCAGAAGCAGGCATTTGCTGTTAGACTGCGCTTTATACAGCCACGCTGTTCGATGCCAACCCCAGAAAACATAGGGCATATTGACTCAAGCAGCGGTCTCTCTCTCTCTCTATATTAATATACATAATATAATACGCACGTGTGTTTGTGTGTTCCCCGATTTGACATTCCACTAAAGGCCGGCTATTCTTGAGCATGTATTGGATACATGTGGCCCCTTGGATGAGTAATGGAGACGTTTCTTTGAGATTGGAAGCAGGGGTAGAGTGCGCCATGTACTGCTTGCGTCTCTCCAGGTAAGCCACAATCAAAACCCGGGTAGACGACTGCTAGTAAGGGACGATCCCAGCCACAAATAGCTGCGGATATCCGCCTTCTTAGTTCTTGAAGCATGGTTCTGGGTGCACCATTTTTGTAGCAAGTGACTCAGGTGGAGATGGAAGATGGGGCCACGATGGAGGTGGTTCCTCGCAGGCGAGGGGAATCGAATCGGAGGCCTTCTGTGGGCCCTTGCTTTCGTCCCAACATTCTCGGTCCATCTGAACAAAGGCTCCAGTTGGGTGCCTCTTTTTTTGAAGGGTACCCCTTTGCTGGTTGTTTGAAAGGGGAAGCCGAAGGTTTCCACCACCCTTTGGGGTTCCACGGGTTTCCCCATATTTTCGACCAAGTCGAAGCGGTGCCTCGAGTGTCGTCCAGTTGAAGCGGAGCTCGCGTGACTCGCAGGCTGAACCTCAAGGCGGAGCTGGTGCCCTCCGATCCCCAGCGCTTCCTGGCGAAGCTGCACGGCGAGCCCGAGGCGCAAGACACGCGAAGCCGGCCGCGAACGTAGGGCCCGTCCCTTTTTTGGTTGATTTGGTGAAACAAAAATTTGAGGGCCGCGCGAACGTAGGCGTCCTTTTTTGGTTGATTTGGGAAAAAACAAAAATGAGGGCGAGTGAGTCCTGGTTTACCTGGTGCTTCAATCAAATACCAGGAAAAAAGCCATCTATTTTCCCCCAAAAAGGGCAATTCTGCGCGAGAAGCAGTCGGCGAGCGGGGAGATGGACAGGTCGGGAGTTCGGGGCAAATAGGCTGCTGCTCAAGATTCACAAGCTTGGGGGTTCGCAGCAGGTAGTGTTTGTTTTCATGTACCATGGTGCCATGTTGGTTACCATTTTCTGAGCCACTGCTATGTGGGACCCCACATTTGTGTGTCTCCTGCTTTCCAGTTGTTTCATTCGATTGGAGTTTTCTCCGATTAGTTTGCTTTCCTTTGCATGATTTGCCGAAGGGGCAACACGGGTGTTACGATCCTGTAACTCTGTTCGACTTGTTGCTGATTCGCTTCATGTTGCCAGGCGGCCTCGTGCCAGCACTGCCTCTGTGGGTGTTTATCTTTACCCCACAAGAACAGACCGGGAGGATTTTCGCGGTTTTCATGGACAGGCAGAACACAGGTGCCCTTATTGGCTTATGGATTGGGCAGATGGACGGGTTTCACGGCCAATACTGTGGATGGACGAAATCCAATTCGCACCACTTCAAAACCAGGGTTGAAACCACTGTTTGTTGGTATTTACGGGGGAGGAATTGAATCATTCCAGTGGTTTCTGATGCGAAATGGAATTCGCAACCATCCACAGGACAGGCAGAAGCGGCGCGGGATGCGTCGACGGGCCGTGCTCAGGACGCCCAGGCTGCGGCTTTGGAGATCAGCCAGCAGCGGAACTCCATGTCTCAGCACGAGTTCTGCCGCTCGCCCGGTGAGACAGGAGCAGTACCCAGCTTACACCAGCTCCGATTCCAGGTCCTGCAAATTCCCCAGGTTTTTTTTGTATTACACCCTGGGATTTTCTTGGGAAATGACCCAGAATGGTTCAGACAGGGGCGATCAGCGGAGATCCGCCTGAAGGGAAGAAGCCTTGAGCATTTCGCGGATGTTAGAGGCGCTAAGTGGATGGAGTAGGAATTGAAACCTGGCTGTGCCATGCATACCTTGAGGCATAAATCACGATCCACGTGAGGACTGACTGGGCGCGGCGTGACTTTGAGCGGTTCTGGTTGATTCTGCACGAGCTTGCCAGGCAACAGGCTTGTTGGCTGGGCGCAGCTTCCAAATTCTATACAGTTTGCAAGGAGCGCTGTGGGCATACAATACGTCTGTGTCTTTCTTTACGGCCACCCCAAAAGGTGGGTTCCTTTGGGGTGTTCAATTGAAGCAACACAAAGCATTGGCTAGCCTCAAAAGACGAGCCCATATGCTTTTGATTGAGGACAGCTACTCCACCAATGCATCTGTCATCCTGCGTCAGCCAGATGGCACCATGCTGCACTCCAAGGCCCGCATTGAAGCCGGAGCTCGCCCCCTTCGTTTCGGAGGTCTGCTCAAAAAACTCCCCCGGGTGGTGGGGGGGACGGTCCCGACTCAAACATGCAGGGCGGCGAAAAGAGCAGCTGGCTCGCAATTCTTTCGGGAGCTTTCTATGGGCTTGAAAGAGATATTTGTTGCCATGGAGATTGGTGTTCCACACCTGCGCATTGCAGAACGCGTCCTTCAAAGGAGTTGGTCAGTGTCGGTCGGCCTATGAATTCAAACTTGAGATTGGACCATTTCCCTGCAAGAGACCAATGATGATTTGGTCCTTTATTTGTTTGGGTGTTCCGGATGACCTCTCATCGTAGGCAGCCAATTGGACGAAAGATAGGCTTTGTGTCGCAGTGCCTGTTGAAGCCAAGGTGTGCCCGAGTGACCGCGCAACTCACTGGAAAGCAAACTCGGCCAAAGGAGCCCAAATTGCGTATCACGATCCTGAATCATGAAGTCTTTTTTGCTTTGCACTTTTTGCGTCTCTGCTTTTTCTTCCTCCGTTTGCTTCTTACCGTCTGCCCTCCTTTCGTTCCGCTTGTCGTTCCTTCCTTCCTTCCTTCCTTCCTTCCTTCCTTCCTTCCTTCCTTCCTTCCTTCCTTCCTTCCTTCCTTCCTTCCTTCCCCTCTTTCCTTGTTCGATGATTTCATCACGTCTTCCTTTCTTGCTACCTCTCACTGGGCATTGGCCAATCCCTGTGTGCCCTGCCCAGGGTGCCGGTGAGGTGGAGCTGGTCAGCGGCATGGCGCTCGCCCCGGCACGAAGATTGGAATGGCTGGGTGTGAGTTATGATCTGGTTTTCTAATTCAGCGACTTGCGAAACTGGGTTAGACGTGTATAATATATATAATAGATGTCATATGTATATGCATATATGTGTGTATGTATATATATGTATATATATATATATGTATATATATATATATATTGGTTCATTGACCGGTCGGCCTTGCAACTGAACTGCCCTGATGGCCTGCAATTTATTGGCACAACATTTGTCACAACATTTGGCACAAAAACACCCAAAGGTCAATTCCAGGACATATGCAGCTTCAACGGAACTGTGGCTCTTTTAATTTCGCCTCCTGCGCGGCTTATTCCCTGCGCGGAATACCGTCGCAAGGGTTTACCTTCCAAGGACCTAGCAGCTGTGGGTGGGGAGAAGGCCCTGAAGACGCTGCAGGATCGCCAAAGCCAGTGCTAATTGTCGAAGTTTGGGCTTTTTTTCTGTTTTTTTTTTCTCGAGGGAGCCCCTTTTGAAATTGGTTTAAAGGGAAGCCAGGAAAACGACCCATTTTGGGGGTAGCCCTAGCTTGAGACAAATCCAAATACATAAAGTTGTTTGAACAGTGAGACCACTCTCCTAGCAATCAGCAAGTACCAACACGTCGCGCCCGTCAAGATGCTTTGAGCTTTTCCAAAGATTGAGCCATCACCGACAGCGGCCTGTCGGCTTTGTAGCAACGAAGTGAACCAACAATATATTCGGTTCCTGAGATCGATCTTACTGCAGAGGCACTGTCAGCTTTGTTTGAAAGCGACCGCACGAGTATCCTATCTTGATTTCTTCACTTGTTCTGGCTTCCTTGTTTCGACAGGACAAAGGATGTGTCTATGTCGCCCAAGTGGACTACGACCGGATCTTTCTGCGGGATGATGACGGAAACTACTTTGAGGCGCCGAATGTGACATGACGTGATTTGGCCATGGGGCATAACCCATGGCTCCATTTTGGGGGCTTTCACCAAAATGGGTCGAATAATTCTGCTTCGTTTTTAAGGGTGTATTTATTCAGCACGTCTAAAACAGTGGCCAAAGCCCAGTGGTTGAATTCATTCAATCTACGTGACGTGATTCGTCTGCCGTGGCCTCAAACGAAATTCGCTTGAGGTCCAGGGCGACCAATCCCTGGACTTCAAGCTGTCGGTCTCCATGGGCGACGACTTTGCTTCTCCCAGATGCGGCGACCTCAGGTCGGGTCGGTCTGCGGGTGTGTCTTCTAGTGGGGAGGGGCTGATTTTGATTTGCTCCTGTTGGGAAGTCCGGCTCAAGTCCCCCAATCTGCAGCTGGTGGGTTTCCGTGTGCCGGAGAAGGTTTGGGTTTTCACGCCCAGGTGTATGCCCGCAGAAGCCTTTCAAGCACCCGGATGCCTCTTTTCTGCCTCTTCCAGAGGAGGCGGCCGGGAAGTCGGGAAGTCGGGAAGTTTGTAATGAACGCCAAATACCCGAAAACGGAAACCACAAGAGTTGGATGCATAGGTCCGGTGTCCTTTTTGGTTGTTTTGGTAGAAAAGTAGATGGCCCTGGTTTGCCTGGTGGTTTAATCATCTACCAGGGCCATCTATTGCCCCTAAAAGGACACCTATGGTTGGATGGGGAAGTTGGGAAGTTTGCAATGAACCCAACCAAATATCCGAAAAAACTGAAACCACAAGAGTTGGAAGTTTGTAATGAGCCCAACCAAATTCCCGAAAGGAAACCACAAGAGATGGCAGTTGGATGGTTTGTCTCTTGGGTCATTCCAAGCCGCACATTCCCTCGATTCCCTCGATTCCCTCGATTCCCTCGATGATCCGATTCTACAGGTTGCTTCCCCATTCTTTTCAACCCTCGTTCTTTTCAAAAGCCGGGCCGTTTTGCAGGGTTCCTGGAGGTTTTCTAGAAGGATCCGGATTTTTTGGGTTCAGAATGGGGAAGTTTTCCCGACCGACGCAGCTCCAATGCGGTTCCAGGCCCCGCCGCCGCGGCTCTTCGTGGTCTATGGCGATGGGGAGGCCGAGGAGCTGCTGCTGCCACGGGATGTGGAGGAGGCGAGAGAGAGAGAGAGAGAGAGAGACCCCCAGGTTTGAAGGGCGCCTCTCTTTTCTTTCCCCGTCATTTGTTTGTTTCTTGGTTTGGGCCCCTTGCACTTCTTTAAATATTCGCCTTTTGCGCAAGGATTTCGCCAGGCTCGCTCGAACACAGCGCGCCCTGCAACCAACCTCTTCTCAGATTTTCCACGTCTCTCGTGTCCAAAAGGCGCCAGGCGAGCCGCGCCTTTGGCGTTTGCCCCGCGCCCACGGCCAGTGAGTCAGGGCTCGCGCGAGCGAGCGTCGAGCGAGCGAGTGAGCGAGAGGCCCTGCGACTGGCCAAGCAGGATCCCAAGGCGCTGGCCGGGCGGCTCAGGATCTGATCCGGAGCTGGAAACCCGAAGAATCTGCGGGGTTCTTCCCCAGAATTGGCTCCCCTCTCTCCTTTTTTGCTTCTTTGGGGTTTGTCTTTGTTTTCCACTCACCAGGCAAAAAAGATATCTTTTTTTGCTGGGGCCCGAATTCCAGCCCAGGGTTGATGTATTTCTTTCCGGACCGTGTTTTCTTATGTATGGGCTTATTTATATTTACCTATTTATGGATTACTTGGTGAATTAATTTATTATATAAGTAGTTTACGACTAATTAATTTGCCAATCAATAAATGAATAGATAAAATAACTAGTTAGTTAATTAATTCATTAACCGATTAATTTACATATTATTTTCTTTATGCACATCATGATCATGTGATGTGTTAAAATTGGAAGCTCTTCATTTTGAGACATTTTGTTCCCCCCGGCAAAACTGAAGCGGCCCATTTCTTTTTTCTCGGCTGCCGCCCAGTGCCGCCTCCCTCTATAGTCCCAAGCTTTGTTGAGATTCCTCAGTAAGATTCATTTAGACAACAACCCCAGAGTCTGGCTTCCAGGTTGCTCCCAATTCCAGCCCTACATCAACCTCCTAGTGCCGAAATACGATGCCAGTTTCTGCCCAGCCATTCAGCCGTGGTATGGAAGGCCAGCCAGAGCAGCACAACATGGCAAACAGGGCCAAACCCTTGTCTCTCTTTAAGCCCCAAGCATAAGTGCTTTCAAGAAGTAGCCATCTTCAGCCGGCGAGCCCCTTGCCGACAGAGGTGGTGGAGGGAGAGAGGATGGGATGGCCGATGAGCTGCTGCAAGACCCACTCCATCCACCGGACCGGGCGGGCTTTCAGCGGGCGTTCGGCTTGCCTGGCCATGCCCCATGGGTGTCCTTTTTGGTTGTTTTGGTGGAAAAATAGATGGCCCTGGCTTGCCTGGTGGTTTAATCATCCACCAGGGCCATCTATTGCCCCTAAACGGACACCTATGCCATGCCCGTTTTCTGTTGTCTGGGGCATGGATTTCCCTACGAGGGCGGAATGGTCTTGAAGCCCGCAGGATCATGCCCATGGATCCGGTCTCCGTGCCTCTTAGGCATTGACGCGAAGCTGCTATCTCGGCTTGAGTTTCGGGGTGTCCGACTGCCGCGGTCAAGACCCCACCTCAAACCCATGGCCTAGCGGAAAGTCGAGACAGGAAACGCTTCAGCCACAGCTCGGGGAGTTTTCTGGCGATGCCTTTCCCTCCAGGCCACTGGAGCTGCCTCCCAGCATGGCCGGTTTCGCCCACAGCTCAGCGCAGACCGAGGGCCAGTTGCCATTTGGGGGTCAAAGTAACCTCGGGGCCGAATAAAATAACACCTGGTCCTTTGGTTTCGCTTTGCAGCAACCCCGACAAAGAGAACCTTCTCTGGAAAACACCATGTAGCTTGAGAAGTGGCTTGTCTCAGGTTCAGCCCGAGATGCCGCAGCGGACCTACACTCAATTTCGGCAGTTCATTGAGTGCCCTGAGGGTTTTCACTGCATCCGGTCTCGCGTGTACGGTCACGCAGTGATGTGTAGGTACCCGAGAATCACCGAGCCGAAGCTCAAGGCTGGGCTGTTCCGACTTGCATTAGAAGTCCCATGGGATCATTGTTTGGACTGTGCGGGTTATGAAAGTCAGAAACTGAGGTTGTTTCCCTTGACTTGCAACTTGGGGTTGATCAAAATTCCATTTTGGGCCCCCAAATAAGCATGCATAACTTTTCCCATGTGGGACACATGATTGTGTTATTGGTTTTCCGCCCAATGGTCATCCCATGCATCACGAACCTTTTGATCACCCCCCCCCCACATGACCCTCGGGTTTCCGCACTTCAACAGGTGCTTCCCTCGGCTCCGAGGCCCTGGTAGCCACCTGGCTCCCGCAGGCCTTGAATTCGATGCCGAGAAAAGAACGTCCCACCCATCTTCCAGCCACGGGACACGACTCACACATTTTTTTTCTTGTTCATCCGAACCTGAAGCAAATCGATCATGGCCCGGTTGGCGGCTATGGCCTTGGTCTGCGCCGAGGGCAAGGAGAGGGACATCTCTCTCCCTCTTTCCTCTCCCCCTCTCTTTCTCTCCCTCTCTCCCTTCCCCTCTCTCCCTTCCCCTCTCTCCCTTCCCCTCTCTCCCCCTCTCGCTTCGCTTCGCTTCCATGCCTCTCGTAGGACCCTTTGCTGGAGCTGGACATGGTCTACGACACCTTCGGGCTGCTCTTCGGTCTGGGCTCCGCCCTGGCGGAGCGCCTGGACCTGAAAGAGCAGCTCCTGCGTCTGGGGATCCAGGCGACACGAGAAGCGACACGAGCGAAACGAGCGAAACGAGCTTCAAGGAGCCCTAGAACTTGCTGAGGTAGGGAATGAGAAGAATGACCTGACTCAACCATCATTTTTTGAAGGGCTTCCTTGAAGGGGTTTTTCTGGGTTCATTCCCGATTCCCTGCTGAGCACCAGCAAGATCAACCATCTCCTATGGTTTCCTTTGTTCATTCCAGTATTCATTCCCAACACTGTGGGTCATTCCCTGCTGAGCACCAACAAGTCGTGCGTGAAGGGGTAGCTCGTACCTCAGATAAGCGGTGAATAACCATGATAACCACAAAAGTCATGGTTATAAGTCTTCGTTCAGCGGGTTATAGCCAAGCTTACCAACCACTTACTAAGTACCCAACAAGCGCCTTTCAGTAGGTGCTCTGCTCCTTGTAATTCTGATGCTTTTTTAGGAACCTTGAAGTGATCCGCTACTGTTTCTGGGGCGATGGCATCCCCACATGTTGGAGCATTTCCGTAGTAGTGATATTGGCAGCTCAAACAGCTGTAGTATTGATTCTTCTTTGTTGACTAAGCGACGCTCATGTTGCTTTTCAATCATATTGAAGGTACCGACCCCAAGGTTTTCTCGCTGGAGTAAGATGTCTGGGCTGCTGGATGAGCAAGTCTTGCTGTGTAAACCTGCAGGACGTGAATGACAAGCTGGATGTGCTGTCTGCTTCCTTGTCCGAGTTGCGGGAGGCGGCAGCGCCTGCAGCTGACCAGCTCACTTTGGTGCTCGGCAGGCACCGCGCCAATCAGGGGAATTCGATCGCACCACGTTCTTCTTTTTGTTATATGGCTGTGAGTCAAAACCAATGGTACCATTTTGGGGTAGGTGCACCACCCGTTTTAGTCTATTTTAGTGGGGATTGGGATGTTCACTGGGGGTACGGGCTTTTGACCCATGGCCATGTACATATATATATATATATATTCCCCCTTGTTCCTGTTGAGCGTTCAGAGTGCCTTTCTTTTTGTCCACGTCCCATCCAACTCAAACGACTCAAAACAAGGGAAACACATGAGCTGAGAGCGGACACTCTTACCGGGGCATCAGCTTTTCATAGTCCCCAAAGTTTCGTCGGCAAAAACAAAACACGCATGAGCAACTGACACATTTGTTAGTAGCCTATCAGCTTGGGTATGGAGGGGCCAGCCCCATTTTCCTCAAACCATCGGTTAAGCCCACCCAATCTTCCCACGGGAAGTCTTTCTAACTTTTTCTAGCCCCAAGCACTTGAGCTGTGCATACCCAGATGTGCCGACGAAACAGTGATTTGTCCGTGTGTGTGTGTGTGTGTGTGTTTCTTTTCAGGCACCCTTTTCAGCTTGGTTGAAACGGAAACCAAAAGGAACACAGTCCATTTGGCCTCCCCCTAATCTGAGCCTGTCCTCTATGGGAACCAAAGGCATACTCCCGTAGCTTAACTGAGCCCGGGAAACGGCGAAACGGAAACGAACAGTGTGTTCGCGCTTCCCAAAACATCGAGGCTTCTTTTTTGGTTGGACGGTTGCTTGCTTGCTTGCTTGCTTGCTTGCTTGCTTGCTTGCCTGGTTGGTTGGTTGGTTGGTTGGTTGGTTGGTTGCTTGCTTGCTTGCTTGCTTGCCTGCCTGCCTGCCTGCTTGCTTGGTTGGTGAGTTGCCTGCTTGGTTGGTTGCTTGCTTGCTTGCTTGCTTGCCTGCCTGCTTGGTTGGTGAGTTGCTTGCTTGGTTGGTTGCTTGCTTGCTTGCTCGGTGCAGGGAAAACCAGCCACTCCTGTCCACTCCTTTTCTTTTTTTTTCTTCGCCGAGTTCTTGAACGCGCCCCTTCGCCCCTTCGCGCCTTCGCGCCTTCGCGTCGAGGTTCACCAACTCCACGGTGGACGCCTTCGAGGAGGCGCTGCCGCAGCACCGGGGCCGCATCCGGCGGAGTTTCGGGGACCTGCTGCTGGTGGCCGTGTACCTGGCGCTGGTACTCTACGTGTTGAGTAGGCGGCGAGTGGGTGTGTGTCTCTTTCTTGTGTTGCTTTGGGTGTGTCGTTTTTGGAGTTGGTCATGTTTTTTTTGGTTCGCTCTGGGTGTGTCGTTTTTGGAGTTGGGAATTACACTTGCTTTGGTGGTTTTTAAAGGGACGCCAAGAGGAGAACCGCCATTTTTGCCCCCAAGAAGAACAAACCTCTTTTGGGGAATGCGAATGGGAACCTATGAGCCGTCCCAAGCTGATTCCTAAGGCATCCCTCGGTTCATTCCCGCAGCCGTGAGTCCGTCGCTTGGTGATAGTCCGATGACTGCCAGCAAAGCTTTATGGCTTTTGATGGGGCCGTGGCCAGGTTGCCACAAGGTTCTAAGGAACCCTTGAAAGCGGCTGAAGAGTTTCGTTTGGTTTCCCTTTAAGCCAACCTGAGCGTACCAACCCAAACTTGTACGAAACCACACTTAAAGGTTCTCGCCTTTGGCAAAAACTCAGGGTCTGGGGATGGTCAAGGTACCATGACCATCCCAGAGTGCCTGCCAAGTTGAGCCTTTGCGGAGAAGAATGCATCTTGTTTGGTAGGCTGAAAGCCAAAGCCTCAAGTGGTTGCCATCATTGGTAGTGATCCTCTCCAGAGGTCGCCATGCCGCAAGTGAGCCATGTTCTCAAATGGAAGCCATACGCTGGCCCAGACAATCCACCTACAGACAAGCGTGCTTGACTCGCAATGCGGCAATGGGATGTTTCGAGGCTCGGTACCATTTTTGGCTTGGTTTCCAAGGAAAGCAAGAGGACACTCTCCATTTTGGGCAATCCCCTATTTTGCCACATACCCAGGTCATTTTCCCCCAAACAGTTGACACACGACGCGTGGATGAGATGTAGCTTTTGGAGCTGCTTTTGTCCTGATCACAAGAAGGCAAAGCGACGAATTGAGCCAATCCGTCGGATTTGCTAGGGCCTTGCTGCTGCTTTCTGCCTGCTGCTGCAGAAGGGCGCCGGAGGAGTGCGAAGGGGAACATTTTGTTTGAGTCCGTTTCAGGCGCCGTGGTTTGCTTGCGGATCGTTTCCGTTTCAACGGAGGTCGTTGATTTTTTATTCGGCGGAGCAGCCTCTTGAAAGTTTTGTTTTGTCGCGGGAAATATTAAGGACAGCGCGATCATTTTGGAATGTACACATACCGGGGTTCAATGGTTTCTGCGTCCGTCAGTGTCCTTGGACGCGCCTTGGACGCCCTTCCGGAAGCGTGATGCAAGGGGTGCCCTCAGTTTTCGGTTCTTGTTCTTCTCAACCCCGCGGGTTGAAGGAACCCAGATGTTCAACAGGAGTTTGTCGTTGGCGAATGTAAAGGATCATGCTTTAAGCTGCTTAACGCTTCATGTCACCTTTCTTTGGTGACAAATCGAAGATGATTCAGACATGCTTTCAATGGGGGAATTTCAGAGGGTTTCCGCTGGTCTCCTGGGAACACCACCCACCACATGAAGGATATGTATCTTCGTGGGTAGCTTCGGTTTGGGAGTAGAACCGGGATCCCATTTTGGGACTTCCCCGAGGGCCCACTGTTCAGGTTCTCCGAAATCGGGAAATCAACCTCCGGGATCGAGTCTAGGAGCCAGAAACGGAATCCTGAGCCAAAACTCCAGGCTCCCGGTTTTCATTCATAGGGCCAGAAGCCAACAGACGCCGTGGACATGAACATGAATCCCATGTCCGCCAAAGGTTCCCGAAAAACTGGATCACAGTCGCCATTTTGGGCGGTCAAAAAGGGTACCCGGTAAATGGAGTCCGGTAAATGGAAGCCAGGACATTCAAATCTGCAGTCCGATTCCTGATCGTTTAATTTGTGAGCCACCGCCATATCTCGGGGGATCCGACCCTTAGGACCAAGACAACCTCGAGGCGCCGAAGAGTCCCCTGAAGCGGCCCCCATGGCTACCCTCCAGTGACAGCTTCTTGCCGCCCCTGCGGGGCGAGCCGCGGCAAAGCGTGAGGCCGGTGCAAGATCTTCAGGGCGTTCCCTTTGTTTGTCGTCTTCGTCTTTGTCGTCTTTGTTGTGTTTGTTGTCTTTGTCGTGACCATTGTTTAATCCTTTTGCCTTTGTTTGAGGGTGATATTGTTCCCCTTTGGGTTGGATTCAAAGGGATGCCAAAACGAAACCAGCCGCTGGGTAACTTGGAGAACCCAGGCCGCGAGCCTCCACTCCGCAGTGCTGCATCTTCACCAACTTCTGCAGCTAGCGACTAGCGAATGCTAGCGAGAGGATGGAGAGGGAGAACACGGCCCGCGGAGAGCGGCAGCAAAGCGCCTAGCAAGTGGAGGCCCCCAAAATCCCCCCCCCCCGCCCGCCAGTGAGAGCCAATGAGAGTTCCTGTTATGGCTGGGGCTTCCCAAATCAGTGGTTCCATAAATCAAAGCTGAGACTCGAGACGCAGGCATTGTCGTTAGGACGGGTCACCCGTTATGGGATGCACCCGTTATGGTCTCACGGGGAATCCTCGGGTTGGTCAACACCAAAATGGAGAAGCTCGGATGGTGGCATCCACTTCGACCGACTGAACATTTTCATGAATTCACGAGCGGAGATCGGAGCTTCGGCACAGATCCTGATTGATTTCTTCCGGGCCAAACTTCGCTTCATAGCCGCGCAGCTGAAAAGCGCCCGGAGCATGAGCCGCGTCATGCGAACTGCGAACTGCTTCTTGATTGTTATCTTTTGCGTCGCTGACTAGGTTGTGGTAGCTGTTGGTTTGGGGAGGGTGAATTTAGGGGACCACCCAAAGTAGCCACAAATGACACAGGACCACCCAAGGTTCGCCTGTTGGGGAAAAGTAATGTTTGTTGCTCATGTCCTCGCAAGGCTTGGGAAAGGGCCTATGAGGAGTATGAGCGGCATGAGGCGCGGCATTTACGACTCCACCCTATGCGTGTCAATGTGATATGGGGATTTGAATGAGGATGACTGGGGTGTGTCTGTTTGCAGGTGACTCTTCAAAATGGATTTCGGTCTCCCTTTCGGTCTTTCTTTAAAACCGCGAAAAGTTTGGGGAATTACCCACACCAGCAAAGACGGAACCATCTTTCTCACAAATCGGGTAACACTTCTTGCTGGTGCTCAGCAGGGAATGAGGGAATGTCCCCTACAAACCATCCCTTGTGGTTTCCTATAAGGAAAGCCCAGGTTCATTTTCGAGCTACCAGCAACGTAACCCTCATCTGACGTAAGTCTGCCAGGAGCAGAGGCTGCTGCTTCGGTCCTCACTGGGGGCTGGGTTGCGCAAGGCCTCCATGCGTACCTCCAGTACCGTCCGGGCCCATGGACCGGCCCGAAACGGTGAAGCTGAGGATGGAGTCTTGATGGACATGAGGATTGGTTGATTGGTCGGTTGGTTGTTGGGTGGGTGGTTGGGTGTTTGTTTGGGAGGTTGGGTGATTGGTCGCGGCTTGTTAAAGTTGATTTTCCGGTTGGTTTCTGCAAGAAGTTGAGCCAATCTGGGAACTCGAATCTGGGCTGGGAATCTCAGCCAATTTCAGGCATCAATGTCATATCGGTGTGCCTTTTTTGGGAGCGCTTGTTTGGTTCGTTTAAAAGCCGCAGCAAAAGGAACCCATTCGTTTTGAGTTTCCCTAATTCGGAGACAAACCCAAAAAGCGAGTCTCAAGCGGAATGTTTCCGTCCGGGAAGCTCAGCAGGTCATGTGGCAGGTGTCCCGTTTCATCATAAAGAGCCTGCGCAAGAAACAAAGGTCAAGCAACATGGGTGTGTCTTAAAATAGGGACCCCCAAAATTCCGGTTTTCCTTTTTTGGGTTTCCCTTTAAACCGGATGTCAACATGCAAATCCCACACGGGTTGCTTCGCAAGGGGCAACCATCCGCCCCCGTTGATTCTGTTGTGACATTGCAACGGATTGGTACACATAGCCGTGGCAAGCCGGTTTCGATGGGGTTTCAAAAGGAAGAAAGCCAAAAGAACGTTCGAACCATTGAACCCTGAACCGTGTGATTTGGCAGCTGGCCCGATTTGCGGACTAAGGTCTCTTTGAGCCTGGCGGACCAGACGAAGCTCAGAGAGGCCAAATGCAAAGCTGACCAGAGATGAACCTGTGGGTGTGTCCTTTTCAAGAGACGCCCCTTTTGCTTGGTTTTAAGGGGACCCAAAAGGAAATCCACCAGGCGTCCCCTAGCTTTAAGACAACCCCATGTGTCATTGTGCATCCTCATCTCGTTTTATTCATATTTTTGCCTGGAAAATGACCGTCCCATACACATTCATGGATGTTTAGGCAATGCATCTCGCTTGATATCCAGACAGAGAAGCTACCCGGCCACTAGTAAGGCAAAGTAAAGGAGTGATAGCCATGGTGAAAGTCTTTGTTCAGTCAGGTACAACCACGCCTACTAGCCACCTACTAAGTACCAGATCGCCCCGTTTAGTAGGCTGTCAAGCGCTTTCCTGCCGGCTTTGCACATCCGACTCGCCTTGCAATATCATGCCTTGGTCTTGTCTCCCGAAGGACAAGACCGATACAGCCACGGAGGCAGGGCCTAGCTTTTGTACAAGCGATGACCAGGAGTCACAGAACCGTTCGATCACAAAGATCAAGCAGTCCGTGCTGAATTTGGTAGAGATTTGTGGGACTCGTTAGACTTTCCGCAACAAAGCACGGAGGCTCGCTATTCTTGTCAGGTCCTGTAGAGAAACCGCATATTAGTTACTTGTAGATCATAACCATGGACAGCCAATGAGGGGTGCTTTCATGCCAAACAGGCTGCGATGAGATCAGCACAGCCGGCATATCAACTCATTGTGCAAAGGTGAGTGACTGATTGTAGGCCCCAAGCAACTGGAGCAAAAAGCGTTGGCGGAGACTTTTTGGTGCCATTCTTTCCCTCCATCAGGCTTCGGATCCTCGGGAAGGTGGTGCCTGAGTTGGCTGCGAATGGTTCCCCAGCCCGCCTGAACCCTATCGAGAAGCCCGAAGTTGATTGCTGGCTTCTGTGGGGGGCGTTTCACGAATGCAATTGCATGAATCCAGCCAGAGGCTGGCAGACGTTTCACCCTTGTGCAGAGGAAAACACTTTGGGAAGAGTTTGCACTGGCTGGATGTGCTGAAGAGGGTGTAGGTGTTGGGTCTTTACTTTATGACTTGGTTGAACGCGTCCTGTGTCACTTTGATCTCTGAATCTCCTTGCATTGATTGCACCCCCTGTGCGCAGGCAGGGATGCTGGAGAGCTTTCGTTCCAGCTGAAGCCTTCTGCCTAGGCAAGTCTAGTTGTGCAGCAGCCATGCCGAGGTCATCAAGTGAGGAACGGCTACGGCAACCGCATTCGCTGATGCCCTCGCCAAGCAGGCCGAGTGTGAACGGTGCTTTGTAAATGAACAAGGCGCCAAAGACGCGCCGTGCCTCCCTGCAGAAAATTGCGGGGGCCAAAAAAGCTGCCCCGTCAAAAAGGTTGGAGTGGCGTCATGTTTGCCGTGTTTCTAAGCTTCTCCTTTCAACCGCGTGGCCGCCGCTGGAGCTGGAACATGCTCAAGGGGAAATAGGGGGCAGCTCGTGGAGCGCGCGGTCATGGAGGCCAGGCGTTCGATTTGGCTGTGGGTTAAAACCAATGGGATGCCATCTTGGGGTAGATGCACCACCCATTTTAGAACCTATTTTAGTGGGGATTGGGATGTTCGCTGGGGGTGCGTCCAATGGATGTATCTGAAGATGCAGTATCGCTCCTTGTGAATGACATTTACTTTGGAGCTTACATTTCATGGGGGCTGGGGGCCATGGAGTGGAGGGGAGGGAGCCCAATCAAGCCCTTATTAAGCTCCTAAGGCCTTATTTGGGGCTTATGTGGGCTTTCTCCCCCCCCTCCCTCCCCCCAGCCTCCATGAAGTTTCGGCTGAAACGATCCAAAAGGGGCGTCTTCCAGTAGTGTTGGGGATGCCCAGTGGAGACTCCTTCCCCGATTGCCCGAGGTGCCCCGACTGCTGGCATGTTTAGTTTTGGCGCTCGCCGAGCACTTAGCTATGTCTTTGCCTGGGCCGAGGGAGGTGTGAAAAACCCAGCGAGCAAAAGACACCACTTGTCGGCTCCAGCGGGAGTGATGAACAACATGAGCTGTGGTCAAGGAGAGAATCCGTGATTGGTGGCAGACACAGATCTATCTTGACAGGCTGTCAATCAATCAACAAACGTCCTTCAATAAATCGATGCACCTTATTCAGCAACAAATGGTCAAATCCAAGAAGGACCCCGCAAAAAAAAAGGGAGAAGAAGCAACAAAAAGGCGGAGGACGCACAAATCGAGGTTCCCCCCGGCCTCTTTTTTGCCCAGGTCCTTGAGACCGGGGCCGTGGACCGCTCGAAGTTCCGGACCTGCGAGCAGGGCTCCTTCTGCCGGAGGCGCACGGGGGGTCTTGCGCGCGACGTGGGCAGCTGGGGGCGAAGAGGGTGGAGTCATATACGATACTAAAAAGGGCACGAAGAAGGAACCCGCAGGAAAAACCGAGCAGGTGAAATGCAATCCACCAAAGAGCACATTGAGAAGCGCTTCTTGGAAAAACCAGAAAGGTCCTGTCATTTTCGGTGCAGCAGAGTGCACCTCTGTGCAAAGAACATGACTCTAACGACTGAGGTCAGAGGTTTACATGGCTGGCTCCGAGGTACAAGAAGTGGATTGCCAGACCTGAGCGGGAGAAAGCTCTGTGGGAGGTGCTCCCACAGACGAGGAGCGATGGGAAGCGCGCTGCATGCGGGGCTTGCGAGTGGCTGCGTGCGGGAGGACTCCGCTTGCGGATGGCGGGGTTAGCTTCCAGGTGAAACACACCAACGAGGCGAGCTTTTCACTCGGCTCCGGGGGTGCCCCGTTTTTTTTTTTTTTTTTTTTTCCCCGAAAGCATCGCGAAGGGTTCTTCCGTGCGGAGCCCTTGGACAAGTTACATAGAGCCAAGTCACATAGAGCCAAGTTACATAGAGCCAAGTTACATAGAGCCAAGTTACATAGAGCCAAGTTACATAGAGCCAAGTTACATAGAGCCAAGTTACATAGAGCCAAGTTACATAGAGCCAAGTTACATAGAGCCAAGTTACATAGAGCCAAGTTACATAGAGCCAAGTTACATAGAGCCAAGTTACATAGAGCCAAGTTACATAGAGCCAAGTTACATAGAGCCAAGTTACATAGAGCCAAGTTACATAGAGCCAAGTTACATAGAGCCAAGTTACATAGAGCCAAGTTACAAGTTACATAGAGCCAAGTTACATAGAGCCAAGTTACATAGAGCCAAGTTACATAGAGCCAAGTTACATAGAGCCAAGTTACATAGAGCCAAGTTACATAGAGCCAAGTTACATAGAGCCAAGTTACATAGAGCCAAGTTACATAGAGCCAAGTTACATAGAGCCAAGTTACATAGAGCCAAGTTACATAGAGCCAAGTTACATAGAGCCAAGTTACATAGAGCCAAGTTACATAGAGCCAAGTTACATAGAGCCAAGTTACATAGAGCCAAGTTACATAGAGCCAAGTTACATAGAGCCAAGTTACATAGAGCCAAGTTACATAGAGCCAAGTTACATAGAGCCAAGTTACATAGAGCCAAGTTACATAGAGCCAAGTTACATAGAGCCAAGTTACATAGAGCCAAGTTACATAGAGCCAAGTTACATAGAGCCAAGTTACATAGAGCCAAGTTACATAGAGCCAAGTTACATAGAGCCAAGTTACATAGAGCCAAGTTACATAGAGCCAAGTTACATAGAGCCAAGTTACATAGAGCCAAGTTACATAGAGCCAAGTTACATAGAGCCAAGTTACATAGAGCCAAGTTACATAGAGCCAAGTTACATAGAGCCAAGTTACATAGAGCCAAGTTACATAGAGCCAAGTTACATAGAGCCAAGTTACATAGAGCCAAGTTACATAGAGCCAAGTTACATAGAGCCAAGTTACATAGAGCCAAGTTACATAGAGCCAAGTTACATAGAGCCAAGTTACATAGAGCCAAGTTACATAGAGCCAAGTTACATAGAGCCAAGTTACATAGAGCCAAGTTACATAGAGCCAAGTTACATAGAGCCAAGTTACATAGAGCCAAGTTACATAGAGCCAAGTTACATAGAGCCAAGTTACATAGAGCCAAGTTACATAGAGCCAAGTTACATAGAGCCAAGTTAGAGCCAACATAGAGCCAAGTTACATAGAGCCAAGTTACATAGAGCCAAGCTACATAGAGCCAAGTTACATAGAGCCAAGTTACATAGAGCCAAGTTACATAGAGCCAAGTTACATAGAGCCAAGGTTAGGTAGAGCTTAGAGCTTCGGCGTTAGCAGCTATGTAAGTTAGTTTAGGTTTCTAAGGCGCCGGGGCGGGAGTTTGATCGTCGCTCGGGATTGCGACCTTTGCGGAGATTCGCGTGGTCGAGGTTCAAAAACTGAGGACTTTTTACGATTTTTAGCATGCGCGCAACCCTCTGCGGAGATTCGCGTGGTCGAGGTCAAAAAACTGAGGACTTTTTATTCCCCACATCTTTGTGTGGGGTTCTTACTTTTTCCGCTCGTCGTCCGCGCGCCGCGTCTCCTCCTCCTCCTCCTCCCGCTCGTCTCCGTCTCACTCACTCACTCACTCGCTCGCTCACTCACTCACTCACTCACTCACTCACGCTCACTCACACTCACTCACTCACGCTCACTCACACTCACTCACTCACACTCACATTCACTATCATTCACTCACTCTCATTTCACTCACTCACTCACTCACTCGCTCACTCACTCACTCACTAGAGGGACAGGATGTTGTCGCGCGCGCGGCGGGGGGCGTGCGAAATCGTGGCAGGCGCAGCACTTTGGCGATGCCGTTGCGAAATCGTGGCAGGCGCAGCACTTTGGCGATGCCGTTGCCGAAGTCGTGGCAGGCGCAGCATTCTGTGCATCTGGGTGTGTGTTTGTGTGGCAGGGGTCGCATTCGGCAGCTGTCTAGAGGGACAGGATGTTGTCGCGCGCGCGGCGGGGGGCGTGCGAAATGGTGGCAGGCGCAGCACTTTGGCGATGCCGTTGCGAAATCGTGGCAGGCGCAGCACTTTGGCGATGCCGTTGCCGAAGTCGTGGCAGGCGCAGCATTCTGTGCATCTGGGTGTGTGTTTGTGTGGCAGGGGTCGCATTCGGCAGCTGTCTAGAGGGACAGGATGTTGTCGCGCGCGCGGCGGGGGGCGTGCGAAATCGTGGCAGGCGCAGCACTTTGGCGATGCCGTTGCGAAATCGTGGCAGGCGCAGCACTTTGGCGATGCCGTTGCCGAAGTCGTGGCAGGCGCAGCATTCTGTGCATCTGGGTGTGTGTTTGTGTGGCAGGGGTCGCATTCGGCAGCTGTCTAGAGGGACAGGATGTTGTCGCGCGCGCGGCGGGGGGTGTGCGAAATCGTGGCAGGCGCAGCACTTTGGCGATGCCGTTGCGAAATCGTGGCAGGCGCAGCACTTTGGCGATGCCGTTGCCGAAGTCGTGGCAGGCGCAGCATTCTGTGCATCTGGGTGTGTGTTTGTGTGGCAGGGGTCGCATTCGGCAGCTGTCTAGAGGGACAGGATGTTGTCGCGCGCGCGGCGGGGGGTGTGCGAAATCGTGGCAGGCGCAGCACTTTGGCGATGCCGTTGCGAAATCGTGGCAGGCGCAGCACTTTGGCGATGCCGTTGCCGAAGTCGTGGCAGGCGCAGCATTCTGTGCATCTGGGTGTGTGTTTGTGTGGCAGGGGTCGCATTCGGCAGCTGTCTAGAGGGACAGGATGTTGTCGCGCGCGCGGCGGGGGGCGTGCGAAATCGTGGCAGGCGCAGCACTTTGGCGATGCCGTTGCGAAATCGTGGCAGGCGCAGCACTTTGGCGATGCCGTTGCCGAAGTCGTGGCAGCCGCAGATTTGTGCTAGGGGTGTGTGTTTGTGTGGCAGGGGTCGCATCGCAGCTGTCTAAGGGACAGGTGTTGTCGCAGCATTTTTGATGCGTTGCGAAATGTGGCGGCGCAGCACTTTGGCGATTTTTGTGTGCCAGGGGACAGGGGAAGATGTTGCGGCGCGGCGGGGGGGGGCGTGCGAAATCGTGGCAGGCGCAGCACTTTGGCGATGCCGTTGCCGAAGTCGTGGCAGGCGCAGCATTCTGTGCATCTGGGTGTGTGTTTGTGTGGCAGGGGTAGCATTCGGCAGCTGTCTAGAGGGACAGGATGTTGTCGCGCTCGCGGCGGGGGGGCGTGCGAAATCGTGGCAGGCGCAGCACTTTGGCGATGCCGTTGCCGAAGTCGTGGCAGGCGCTGCATTCTGTGCATCTGGGTGTGGAGATGCCATTGCCGAAGTCGTGGCAGGCGCAGCATTCTGTGCATCTGGGTGTGTGTTTGTGTGGCAGGGGCAGCATTTTGTCACTCATTCGCTCGCATTCATACTCACACTCACTCACACTTCTCGGATGTCTAAAGGGTCGTCTACAAGGCTTGTGTAAGTGCAGAGCTGTGAGTACATGAGGCAGGGTGCATTGTGAGGCAAGCTGTTGGATGTTGACATTGGGCTCGCAGAAGCTTTGTGTCCAGGGTCACGAACTTATATTTTGCAGAAGTTTTGTCAGAAGTTGGCAGAAGATTGCAGAAGTGTTGTCAGAAGTTTGCAGAAGAATGTTGAGCAGTTCGATCGCATGGCAGAATCGTTGTGTGAGACGTGTTCGCTTGGCCAAAGATGCCGATCGAACGCCACAAAGGCGCATGGCGAGCGTGCGTGTGCAAAGCTGGCTCACGAGTGCGAGGGCCATGTCGAGCATTGGTGAGAGAGGCTGAGCTCGACTTGGCGCACTTGCAGGACGTTGCCCAAGAAGGTTTGTCTGCCCTTGCGGCGGCGGGGAAAGCATTGAGAGACAACTCGGAGAAGGACGCTAGACCTGCTCTGTAATCGCATCCATACAAGGGGCGCACGGTACATGTGTGTGGACATTTGAACTCACATCCTTGGGAAAAACATAGCATGTGGGGTTATCCGGTCCTTTAATGATTTTTAGCATGCCCGCGCGACCCTCTGCGGAGATTCGTGTGGTCGAGGTTCAAAAACTGAGGACTTTTTACGATTTCTGCTGGCCGCGCGAGACTCTCTGCGGAGATTCGCGTGGTCGAGGTTCAAAAACTGAGGACTTTTTACGATTTCTGCGGTGCGCGCGCAACCCTCTGCGGAGATTCGCGTGGTCGAGGCTCAAAAACTGAGGACTTTTTACGATTTTTAGCATGCGCGCGCGATGCTCTGCGGAGATTCGCGTGGTCGAGGTTCAAAAACTGAGGACTTTTTACGATTTTTAGCATGCGCGCGCGACCCTCTGCGGAGATTCGCGTGGTCGAGGTTCAAAAACTGAGGACTTTTTACGATTTCTGCAAGCCGCGCGCGACCCTCTGCGGAGATCGTGCGCGTGGAAGCGCTCTCGCTGTGGCGCCGTGCGAATTTGTCTTAGTCTCGGCGAACCTTCTGCGGAGATTGTGCGTGTCGAAGCGCTCTCGCTGTGGCGCCGTGCAATATTCTTGCTCGCGAAACGGCCTTTGTGAAATCGTCTGCGTCCTTGGGGCAGCTGGCGGCGATGTACTGCGTGGCGAAGCAGCAGAACGAGCGCAGCAACTTTTCATTGTGGACGCGCAAGATGTGGCTGGCTTCGGCGCGAAATTGCTCATGCTGAGCCGGAAAAGAGCATGCAGCGTACTCGTATCTTTCATCAAAGAAAGACAATGTTTGCTGACGCGTCTTGTATGCGTCGTCTTCCTCTTCTTCTGCAGAAAGATCCGAGTTGCCTGCTGATCCGGAATCCGCATCGTCCACTCGCGCCTGCCT